TGTTGGAAAGGATGATCATCGGAGAATTTGTGAAGCACCGAAACACCTTCTTTATGGAGTTTCCCATATTCCTTAGATGTTTATGTTGTGTTTCATGAGAATCGTGCAATTTCAGGGCCATTTCACGAGTGTGTTGCCTCGGGTTAGACTCAACAAGTGTTTCAGTGTATCAATATCAATTCCAACATGTCAGCACCTGCCATCACAGTTTTTAAGGTTAAAGTCACCTGAACAAAATTTGCTGAAACATCGTTGACACTTCCGAACATTCAAAACATTTCCATAAACTTCTTTGATATTCTTTGTGGCTACAGAGGCTTTCCTTCCCTTCTTGTATTCAAATAGCATCACATGCCGAATGTGTGTCTCATCATGTGCCATCACTATAAGGGATTAGAGTATACTAAACTTTACACATTATATCGGCTACACTAACGTGGCATTTAGGCGGTTTGTTTAACTATTATACGTGTGATGTATGTTTTTGGGGGGTGGTTAATGAAAGTGTTCCAAAACATGACATTAATTTCTTGGCAACCTAATATAAGCTAACAGGCTGTCTTTAATGACAAATATTTGGCTATTTCATGCACACCTTTTAGTTTTGAACTCATTTTAATTTATACTGTTACCATATGGATTTACATTTCTGTCTCATTTTATGCCTAGATGAGCATATAAGTTACAAAATAAACACATTCACTCTGACATATGGTTGGTTAATGAGGACAGTATCAAACAGCTCTTGTAAAATGATAAGAGAAAGTCAGTTAGTAAACTCGAATATGGTCATAGGTGTAACCTTCAGAAAGGCATTTTTTTTCTTCGGTACAGCAGAGCACAATACAATGGGAAAACAGATAGCAGTGAAGAAAAGTGCAGAAAAGTCAGTCTTGACATGACAGATCCTTATTCCATCCTATCAGCAATGACAATCACAACAGATACCAGTAAATTAGATGACCTGAGTTCGGCCTACAAACCAAAGTTTAAAGTCACATAAGTTGAGAATATAGATATTGTAAATTATTTAATCCTCACAATATCTTTTTATGCCAGAAAGCAGTTCAAGGCCTATAAAATCCTTGATGCTTACAAGTATTTTGTGGCTGGCTTGGTGCACAATGTCAGACTGTGGAAAGTGTACAAGACGTCCAACAACATAGCTTACTCAAAGGTAAGTTCAAGTTGTTTTTAGTGATTAGGCCTATTGTTTATGTTCTATCAGTCGTAAATTTAGAATCTAGATATACTACATCATATTGTATTTTAAGTCCTTCTGTCTTGTAAGGCCACTGTCATCAGTACACATTACCATATATTTTACACAAATAATCCCTGAATTTTAAGACTACCTGTCTTGAGAAGCCACATTTTTGATGAAACTTTATTATCGCCTACTGGGCCCTTCCACCTAGCATTGCTTGTATAGGCTTCTATCATAGTAGTTAGATTACGAGAAGCACCAAATATTTACATGCTACAAGATCTGTGCAATATAATTGTGACAAAGTACATTTTATATTCAAGTGGTACTAACCAGATATAAAATGGGAACTGCATAGGCTATGTTACAACAATGGTTTCCAAGCTTTGTCAATGTTGTTCGAGTGTACAATTTACTGCCTCAGCTCATTTAACTATACATACATAACCTAAATCGATATCTCCAGATTCTTTGTCTGGTTGTTTGTATAACTAACTGCTGCACAGCTGATTGTCATTTCAAATACTTAATCCTAAATTCCAACACCAGCAACTACATTGTGATTACTACATTCTCTCTCTCCACTACATCCAAAATGGTGGTGTTTACTTTTTGGCTTGCTGGTAATGTATGTGTGATGTCACACGCATAGGGTCTTATAAGATGTATCACAATATTTCTTTCCTCAGGGTATGAGATGTTAATTCAAAATTTGCATTATCAATGCCTATTTCTACTCAATCATATTTACGTATGACCTAAAAGAAAGGTTCCCAAACTTTTGTCCATGAGCTCCTTTCAGGTGTTCCACAGAAAGGTTTCATAATTACAGAAAAAAAGGAGTTTGTAGGTACCAGAACAAACTGACACTTGAGACCTTAAATATTCAGAGATATATATAAATAGGAAAAATATGTATAAACTAAGTGGAAAAATGTAATCTTTATTTGGGAGGTTTTGTGGATTATAAAATAATAATGACCTGCCTGCTGGTTTCTCAATGAAGTGCTTGGAGTTTTCTTACAGTGCAACATTAAGATCAGAGTTTAAAAAAAATTCAGTATCTGAGGGTTTTTTTCAGAGAAGCAGAGTACCCAAAATATACAGACAAAGCAATTCATTTTCTTATGCCATTTGTGAGACAGAATTTTCATCACCTGTGAATCTGAAGTCCAAATACGGAAATACAATGAATGCTGAAACTGACCCACGACTAAAACTGAGTAACATTACAACAAAATAAAGAATTTTGCTCAAGATAAAATAAAATGTAGAAAAGACAGTATTAGGTTATTATTAATACTACAATGGGTCTCATGAGCTTATTTTTCGTTAAATTATACTATTATTATGTGGCCCACCTCTTTAGTACACATAACACTGGCACTCACTTGACCCTAGTCACTATTTACCACCCAACTGACCTTGAGAGAACCAAAGCATGGGGCTTCTAATCTAGATATTCCAGGCCAAATTAGTTTATTACAGTGGTCAGGCACCACTAAACTACCTTGATCTCTTCTCTTACATGGATCACTACTCACACCAAATACATGGGTGAATATAAAGATCTCATAAAAGGTAAGCTGCACAGTTAGAACCTTTCCAGGAAGGTTCCTTCATTACAAACACAAATCCATGTCAAAGACCCATAAACTTGTCAATATAAAAGCAAAAAAAACACAAAAATCAAAAACTTCACTTGTAAGAAAATGACAAAAACAATGAAATTGATAATAAACTTTCATAATATGACAATTTTCCCCAATTTAAACCATGAATATGCTATTCACATTCAAATAAGAAATGGGGGGGGGGGTAAAGTATTTCATTTTGTTGGACAGCTCAGCATTCTAGCATCTTTCCATGTTGTCAAAATGTTGGATTTAGAAATATTCCTGTACATAATTCTTATCACTATTAATTTCATTTTAGATACACTTGTAACAATTTAAGCAAGAGGTGAATTATCTAATCATAGCTAATTTAACTAATTAACACACTCCCTTATGTCTTTTGCTGAAACCTAAAACATTATCTATTTTGATATTACAAACACAAACAAATTACTTCAACTTTAAATTTGTAGCATAACTACAAGCATATTTTTTTTCACAAGAATTTAATATATATTCATAAAAGAGGAACATTAATTCTACTGTATTTTAACCTCAATAACAAACTAACCTTTCCCACTGAAGAAAAGAATTCCTCCAGATCTCGACTTCGTATTCTTGGAGATAACTGCATACACAAAACAGTTCGCAGATCACGTTCCTCTGCACTCATTTCAAACGATCTAAAAGGATGCATGCATATAAGCATGTATAAATACTCTAGAGTTGTCATTACAAAAAGTAGCATCAAATGCCAAATATTCTTAAGATTAACTAATCCTAACCAGAAAAACTGAATCTAAAAGCCAAATATATTTACATTTAACAAAACATTACATACAAAACTAAAAATGTATAATATAAGAAATTTCTTAGTGAATAATTCTCTACCATTTGTACTGTAAACCAGTGTTTCTCAACCTTTGTTTGCTCATGGCTCCCCTTTTGAGTTTGATTTATCTCTGTGGCCCCACCCTTCTTAGACACTGTTACTTACTTTATTTCCACACTGTTGATTTATAATATATTTATAATATTATAACATTATTTTTACAATATTGTATTGCTTTAAAATATTTAGTTTATAACATACTGTTTATTTATACAAGTAAAAAATATTCTCTTAATCATTGACATTTTATTCAGTGTGATCCTTGGGCCTGATGAACACTTAAAAGTTTTTGAATGTCCAGTTGCAGTGTGGTTATTGATAAGCGAAGATCACCTCTCTTCACAACATCAAGGTAGTTACATATTTTTGATAGCAAATAAGTCACCTGATTAAAACCAGATTCGACCAGATAAGATATGAGAAAAGCGATAAAATACGACTTTGCCTTCTCCCAAAGCTGTGGAAACTTATTAGCTATTTCACTACTTATCCAGAAATAATGTTTGTCACGTTTTAATCTAGCTTGGGCTGTTATATCGCTCTGCTTCTAATGAGAATCAGTCAAAATCATTCGCAGATACCAGAGCTGTGAGGGATATGGGGATAAATTTGTTTCAATTTTAAATTTTTAATATTTTATTCAGACATTGAAATTTTGGTGGCCCACTCAGAATTTACCGTGGTCCCCTAGTTTTCTGTCATTCACATGTGGCCCCTTAGAAACATGTCATGGCCCACATTGAGAACCACTGCTTCAAACAATAAAAAAAACAGGCACATTAGCTAAAACATGAAATAAATGATTACATTTAACCCCTACCCATATTTGCCTGAATATAATGCACACGTTTTTTTCTCCAAATAGCTCCTAAAAAACCGATTGTGGATTATATTTGCACACAATCAATTTTGTTAGGTATTTTACTAGAAGCTACCATCGAAAATCGTTGGAGCATCATCAAAGGTTTCAAAAAATGTTGAATATCCAATGCAATTGATTGGTCGGATGATGACTTGGTACGGAAATCAGAAGAGAATGAAGCAAAGGTTCAAGGAAGAAAATGTGATGAATCCAATGGTAGTGACAATTCTAGTGATGACGAAGAGTTATTTGAAGATAAATGATTAGTTTAGTGTATTATCCCTTATAAACTTTTCAATAAATTTTGTAAAATTGACACGTAAAAAAATTTTAATGAAAGATTTCCAAAAATGTTTAATACATCAATAGTTGTTTACTGTATTTAGAAACTATTCAACACATTTTGGACAACTGATATGTAAAAAACAAATTTTCTTTAATTTAAACTTTCAAAATTGGGTGTGCATTATATTCGGGCAAACATAGTAGGCCACTGAGCAAACACTATCAAACTCACTTTCAAAAATTAATTTCATATATATTTCAAATTTATTATTAATCTTTTTATTACTCAAAAGTCAAAATTGGGTTAAAGAATTCAAAAGCAGTCAATAGTTACCTAAAATTGAATTTTAAAGTTAAATAACAAACATACCTGTCCATAGAAGCTTGTCTGGGAGATACAGGAGGTGAAACCACTCCTCCACTTCTGCGTCTTTCTCGACTGTTGCTTCTTAAGTAAAGAAAAGTTTCCAGATATAAATGTTAATTCAAGAAGCAAAAATTTTTTAGACAAATCTGAAAAGAAGCATTTTTATTTAAAAAAAAACTAAAGAGAAATTACTGTTATACAAATTTACTAATAAATTGTGCTTAATAAGAACTCAGCTTTCACATTACTGCTGACAAATAGAAAGAAGTTAATTTCTAATGCTTTTATTGATGCTTTATATTTAGAATAAAATTATTATCTATATTCATTTTAATTTCTGAACTTTATTTTTCAGTAAGTGCATTCTTCTTTAAATTTGCATGTCTATGGATGCTTTGGGTAAAAACAATCTGCCACATTGCAAGTTCTATCACCATCAAGTAATAAAATATTGGTGCAAATAGCAAATATAGCAAGCACTAACAAAAGCTCCATTTTAAAAAATTCTACACTTCTCTAACTTAGCCTGTTAAAAAAAAATTATTTTAACATAATAAAATGCTTAATTTTATATAAACTACACAGTTTATGTGTAAAAGCACTTTTCTACACACTTCTGGTCAACATTGGAGGTTAACTCATAACACAAGTTTTGATCATAATTTTACAGGAATGGTGTTGCCACATGATACTAACGTTAAAAAATTGTTTCTTTATATTTCTTTGCTTGCTGTTAAATATTTTGAAATAATAATATATACACCT